TGATTATTTCCTTTTTATACTATATATGGCTTTTTTTGGTATGTATTTGTTTGCATATTGTCTCTTCCAGTAGATTGTGAACTCCTTGAGGGCAGGTACTTATTTTGCTTTTCTTTGTATCCTCAGTTCATGGCACAGTGGCTGGCACACAGTATCTACTCAATAAGTGCTAGTTGACTGACAGGCTTAGTTTGGAGAGGAGAAGATGGGGGAGGAGAAATTGGGCATGACCCATATCTTAAGATGTCTGCAACTTTGTCTTGTTTACTCTGCTTGGTCTCAGAGGGCATATTGAGGATTAGTAAGGGAAGGTCATGGAAAGGCTGATGTTGACTCATTATAAGGAAGAACTTCCTAATTACTTAAAGTTGTCCCCAAATTGAAGAGGCAAATGTCATTAGAGGAGTAAAACCTAGGGTGACTGCTTATCAGAGATATCAAAGACGGGATTCATTACTTAGGGGTTGGGCTAGGGGGCCTTCTGAAGACTCTTCTAACTCTGAGACACTATGAGTGGAGACTTTCATCAAAAGGGCTCTGTGGAGATGGCAGGATATACAAAGGGCTTTGAAGAATGATTAGCATATCTACCTTGCACTCACCAAACTGGCAAAAAAGAAGTAAGATGAGCAGTCAAACTAGTAAGATGAAAAATATTGCAGAGTGTATGAGAAAATAGGGACACATGCATTATGGGAGCTGTGACATGCCATTCTGCAAAGCAGTTTTGAACTGTGCCCCCCAAAATTACTAAACTCCATATATACTTCAACCTAGTATTACCACTAATAGGATTATACCTTAAAGTGATCAAAGAAAGGGAAAAAAATTAAGGGAAATTAATATTATACTATTCTATTAATAACCAATTATTTATTTGTGATTCATCCTTTTTCCTTCTATTTTTGTCAAGACCCCTAACCTCTGATGCTCAGGCAGTTTTGAAGGGTGTAACTGAGTAAAGTGATCTATTCCCAGCCCCCAAGGCATCTATATGGGCAGGGAAGGTGGGGGGCAGGGGGGAAGCTAGGTTCTCCCTTTGTTCTTGTCATTCCTCTCACGAAGATTTGGGATGACCTGGTCTAGAAAAAAGAGATCAAGCCAGTAAAAGCTAGATGAGATGGCTTGTGCATTTCTGGCCAAGTTTGCTGGGGGCAAGCTGGGTTTCATAAACCGGCTAACATTCTGTCCCTTAAATGTCAGAGTGGTTAGGGTCAGCCACATTTGAAAGTCATTTTCCCTCGTTGTAGATTGACCTGAGTATCAATCTTCTCCCCTTCCAATGATAAAGTAATGATTAGCTATGAACTCTTGGCCCACCTCCTCATTTAAGTGTCTACCAATTAGGGTTGCCTTACATTTGCCAGGGAATGTCCAAATGATGTACTGTCAGGCCAATCAGAAGGAAGACACACCAAGGTATAAAGTGAGGTCGATCCTCTCTCTGGGTCCAAAATGGAGCCAAGATAGTAAGACCTCTCTGTTACCATTAGCATGTTCCTGCTAATAAAGGCTATTTGGCTCATAAAATTGTCTCTGCCTGCCCTTTGTTAAATTTCTGCCCCCCCAAAAGTCCTCTATATACATACGTATTTATATCTCAAGCAATAGCTAATACTCATGTAGTGCTTACTATGTGCCAGGAACTGTGCTAAAATTTTTACAATTGTTATATCATTTGATCTTTATAACAATCTTTTGAGGTAGGTGCTATTATTATTCCCATTTTGCAGTTGAGGAAATTGAGGCAAACAGATATTAAGTTACTTGCTTAGGTTCACATAGCTAGTAAGTGTTTGAGGCTGGATTTGAACTCAAGGCTTGACTCCAGGCCCAACACTCTATCCACTGTGTCACCTAGCTCCTCCAAAGAGATCAGAAAAAAGAGGAAAAAGGACTTATTTGAACTTAAATTTTTAGAGCAGCTTTAAAAATATATAGCTGCAAATACTGGAAAGTAAGTGGGGGGGGAAGTGACCATCAATTGGGGAAGGGCTGAACAAATTATGGAGTGAAATAGAGTATTATTCAGGTGTAAGAAATGATGAAAGAGATTTCATAGAAAGCGGGGAAAATTTGCGTGGACTGATAAAGAATGAAATGAGCTGAAATGAGCTCAATAAGGAGAACAATTTGTACTATAGCAACATTGCAAAAATGAACAATTTTTAAATGTTTAAAAAATCTGAACAGTACAACGATCAACTGTGATTCCAGAGAACTGATGATGAATGCTTCCCACCTCCAGATAGAGGGGGTGATGGGCTAGGTTGAGACACATTTTTGGACATGGTGAACGTGAAGATTTGTTTTGTATAACTATTCATATTTGTTATAAAGGTTCTTTTTCCTTTCCTTTTTCAGTGTGGGAGAGGTAGAAGGGAGGAAAAAAAATAAATGCTTGATAAGTGAGAAAAATAAAAGCACAGAACATGCACCAAAGAATGGACCAGTATGAGGAGGGGCAGGGCATTCTGGGCTAAGAGGAAGGTGAGATCAAAGGCAAGATTAAACCAGAAGAGGAGGGAAAGCAGAGGCTTCTAGATCATAGAACTGAGGGCTGGAAGATCATCTATTCTAACCTATTATTTCTACATTTGAGGAAACTGAGGCCCTGGGAGGTTGACCGAACTCCCCAAGTTTCTGTGGTATGGTTGGGGACTGCCCCATAAAGCCTGGGGCTGGTTCTTCTCCCTGATAAAGTATTGAGACTTGATGGTCCCTTGAGTACAAAAGGCCACACAGAGCCCTCGGGCCTTCCTTGAGGCTGCTGACCAGCACCGCAGTGTCCTCACTGGCTAGTGCTGCTGAGTGATATTTTTTCTATGACTAAATAAATCCCCCTTTGTTAACTATTGAATGATGTGAGTATCGCATTCATTCCATTGTCGTTGTTGTTCAGATGTTTCAGTCATATACTTCTTGACTCCTTTTTATGGGGTCTTCTTGGCAAAGATGTTGGCATGGTTTACCATTTCCTTCTCCAGCTCATTTTACAGATGAGGAAACTGAGGCAAACGGGACTAAATGACTTATCCAGGGTCACACTACTAGTAAGTGTCTGAGGCTGGATTTGAACTCAGGAAGATGAGTCTTCCTGACTCCATGCTTGGTGCTCTATCCGCTGCACCACTTAACTGCCCATTCATTCCACTTGCATACCTAAATTGCCAGGAGATGAACTTGAGGCAGGCCTTGCTCACAACCCATCAGCAGTAAGAAGGAGAGCCACAATAAGGAACAGAATGAGGAACTATGAGGAGATATTGTGGAAAGATTGGTATTGACTCAATATAAGGAAGACCTTTTTAATAATTAGAAAGAGGGTGGGCTGCCATCACCGAAAGAAGCATGAGCTGGATTACTTAATTACTTAATCTGTGTTACATCCAAGATGTCAAGTAAGATTGAAACACAGATATGACTTTAAATGCAAGGCTTTTTCTGCTATTCTAAATTACATTTGTGTACAGTACTAACAGCCTACATATCTCTAGATCTTTTCGTTCTTTGTATTATTTAATTCTCCCAATGATCTATTAGATGGGCAGGAAAAGGTTTATTCTGAGTTTGGGACTAAGGAATCAAGTCAAGTGCCATCAACAAGCAATCATTAAACACTTAACTGTGTCATAGGTACCAGGTTAAGTAGTGGAGACACAAAGACAGGCAAAAACAGTCTGTCCTCAGGGAGATCACAATCTAATGGCAGAGCCAACATCAAAACAGCTACGTTCAAATAAGATATTAGAGATAATTCAAAGAGAAGCAACAAGTATTATGGGAGATTGGGAAAGGCTTCTTGCAGATGGTGGGGTTTTAGCTGAGAATTTTTATTTATAGAGAATGCTCTAAGTGCTTTACAAAACATTATCTCATTTGATCTTCATGACAACCCTAGGGGGTAGACACTATTATTATCCCCATTTTCCAGTTGAGGAAACTCAGGCAGACAGAAGTTAAGAGACTTACCCAGGATCATACAGCTATAGAAAGTATCTGAACTCAGGTCTTCCTGAGTCTAGGCCCAGCACTCTATTCACATCACCACCTAACTGTCTTACAGTGAGTAAACCAAAGTCCAGCAAGGGAACTTACCTAAGCGATAAGATTAGGATTTGAACCTGGGCCTTATGACTCCAGAATTCAGTACTCATCCCACTGTATCTACCTACTTCACAAGGTTGTTTGAGTAGAGCACTTTTGTAAACCTTAAGGTATTACAGAGACTAGAGCTAATGTTATTGTAGATAGTCTAAACTCTAAACCTATGATTAAAGGATCACAGATCTAGAGTTGGAAGAGACCTCAGAGACCATCTAGTCTAAATTCCTCATTTGCACGGAGGAGGAAGCTGAGATCCAGGGATGTTAAGTGATGCCCAAGGTTACATAGGTAGAAAGCACTGGAGGTGGAATCTGACTCCTTTCACTGCAGAATTCAAGCTCTTTCTTAGCAAACTTCTTCATTATTATTGTTATCTCGCTAGTCGTCCTGCTGAGAAAGACTTCTCAGCCAGGGAGGAGGAGAATCAGGTGGAAGCAATGGCATGTAAACCACTTATTGATATGAAGGGCTTAACATTTTGGGGGAAGCTGAATACATGAGGCTAATCAAGGATGAAATGAGGAGCTGGTGCTTCCATTTCCCTGTCTCCCCAGAGGGAATTCTTCAGTCTGGTGGTTCTGCACGTTTTCCTTCAAACTGGCCTGGTTGCCAGGGCGCAATGGCTGATGTCACCAGAGCTCTCTAAGCTGCCACTCGGAACCCTGGGGCTCAGTGAGGACTGAGTCTCAGGGCTGTGCAGTCGCATCTCCTTTGAGCTTGGTTACTCTTATTTTCAGAAAGCTTGGTTCTTTCTTTTTCTCAGATCGGAGGACACCGAGCCAGAGACAAATACATTCCCATTTGGAAGCACCCAGGGCAGAGGTTGTGGAGAGGGTTAGAGGGAGGGAAGCAGAGCTGAGGGGTGGGTGGGTGGGGGCCTGTCTGGGGAAATCATGGCCAGGTGTTTCCCTTTCTCTTCATCTGTGGGCCAGAGCACCCCTACTGTCTCCTCAAAGCCCTCTCCAACATGGGAGATCAAAGAAGAAGCTCCAGGACCTTCAGGTAAGAAGGTGGGTGGGAAGGGCAAAGAGGAGATGACAGGAAGATTGAGGATATGAGTCATTGGCAGAGAGAGGGTGTGGGATGGAAAGCGGTGAAGAAGAAGAGGCATTCAAAGGGGGAAAAGAGCAGCCAACGGGGAGTTAAGGGACTTGGGTTCTAAATCTGGATCTGTATCAGAGATGTGGGGTTAGGACTAAGTCCTACACAGCCCTGTGTCATTGTTTAGCTCACTTTTCCTCTCTAGTTCTCTTTCCTCCCCCATAAAGAAGGTATGACAAAATGATGTCTATCTGTCAGCTTTTAAATTCTATAGAGCAGCACAGGGGCTAGAGGTGGGGGGTGAGGTGTGATAGGAAGGAGAACCAGGAGAAGTTTCCTCAGAAACTCACAGAGGAAAGAGTAACTAATAATGAGAGTGAGAGAGAGAGAGAGAGAGAGAGAGAGAGAGAGAGAGAGAGAGAGAGAGAGAGAGAGAGAGATCAGAAAGCTAAGAGAAAGGCTTCCTTAGGGCAAGACTGGAGGTAGGAAAAAGTAGAGAGGTAAGACTGTGAGGGATTAGAAATGGCCACAGGATGGGAGATGAGTGGAGATGGAAGGATGAGAAGATTGTGAAGGAATATAGGAAAAGTTGAGGTAGGATGAAACAGGCTATATAATAGGAAAGAGCAGAAAGAACCATAGTACAGGAAATGGGACAAGATAGAGCAAAAGGTGGGAGGGAGGCACACTGAATCACAGGACAGAAGGTAGAAGGGATGGAGGAGGATGGGGGGGGAGACGGATGGAACCATAAGATAGCAAGTAGAGAGGGGTTGGAGGGGTTAGTGGGAGAAGGTGAATGGAACCCCAGGATAAAAGGGGTGAGTTAGAGAGGAAGGGGCCACAGAACAGGAGGTAGGAGGAATTAAAGGGAGGGTGGAAGTTGATCAAGAGAACAGCTAGAAGGGGTTGAAGGAAAGGATTAGAGAAAATAATAGGAACCATTAAGACAGGATATTGGGGAGGGTGAAGGGAAGGGTTGGAGGGAATGAAAAGGCGGAGCAGGACACTGACTAGTTGGAGTTCTTCTAGAAGACAGGGACTAAGATGGTGGCGAGGTCAGAGATCATGCCATATGAAGAAAAGTTGAAGAAATTGGGAATGTTTAGCCTGGAGAAGAGAAGATTTAGGGGAGATATGATATGTGACTTCAAGTATCTAAAGGGCTATTATGGGGAAGAGGAATTAGATTTTTTCTGCCTTGACCCAGAAGGCCAAACTAGGAACAATGAGGAGATGTTGCACAGAGGTATATTTCAGTTCAATGTAAGGGAAAACTTCCTTCATGATTGGAATCCAGACATGGAATATATTGCCTCAGGAAGTGGTGAATTCTCTATCATGAGAGGTCTTCAGGCAGAGGCATACCTCTTGCAGGCATTGGTTGAATTTCAAACCTCCTTCCATTTATTAGATTTGCTGATTCTGTGAAGTAGAAGATGAGAGAAGGTAGTTAAAGGGGGTCAAAAGAAGGTATCTAAAGTGAGACAGTTTGCTAATGGCTTCTGGTCTTCTCTCTTCCAGCCACCTGGATACCTCCTAGTTCACCTCCCAGGACTCAAGGCCAAAAGAGGAAACATTCAGACTGGATACCCACAGGAACCCAGGACAGATGGGCTGTGAAAGGCATGTTTGGTCTCAAAATGCAGCTGAAGAGACGCAGGATGTCCCCAGTGCGGCCTGAGGATCACAAGGCCTTCAATAGGCTGCTAGGTAGGAATGGAGCGAGCTCCTTCCTCATCCCTAACACTTCAAACCACCCTCCCTCCCAACTCTCTTTCTTAACAAAGAAAACTGTCCAATAATGGAACAGGAAACCTCGAAAGATTGTTTATTAGAAGCCCCTCCCTGGAGGTGTTCAAGCAGAGGCTGATAACCTCACAGGGGCTCCAGAGGGGCTGTCTTATTTCCACTTCTCCCCATTTGGTTCCAGCCTTGGGTCTCTTTTCCAAGAGGGGAACAGAATAGGGGAAACAGCTTCTTCTCTTGGCTCAAATGGACCACTCTCCATCCCCAGCCTAATAGAACATCCTTCTATCTCCCTCCATAGAGGATCCTGTTATCCAGAACTTCCTGGCCTGGGACAGAAAACTTCAGGTGTCAGACAAGGTGCAACTCTTACCTATGGCTTGGTCTGGGTTATTCATGTACAACATCCCTTTTAGAAAATGTTGATCCTCCCCATCTCCAAATTGCCCTCTGTCCTGCCAACAACCCCCTATCCCTATTCCAGATGGAATGAGGGTCCTGATTTCCTGGCCCCCATCCAAGAAGGCATGCTGGGCCCAGTTCTGTATTCTCTCTTACCCCTGAGAATTAGAGCTTGAAGACCCCAAATTGCCACTGCCCAACATCAGCCCCCCAGCTTTAGGCTCCTCCCTTCTCCATGTCTCTAGTCCCAGTCCTTTATCTTATACTTCCTCTGCTCCAGGCCTTGTTTTCTTTAAGATCACAAGTACATCTGCAATTCAGATATAGACTTCACTTTTGTCCCACAGTTCCTCTTTTCTCTCTCTGTTTTGGTAACCCATTCTCCACAACATATTGTCTTGCTGTGCCCCAACAAGGATCCAAACCTCCCGTATCCAGGATCCCCACAACTCTAGAGTACATCCCCTATTTTGCTGGCCATCCCCTTCCCTTCCTGACAATGACCCTTTCTCTCTCTCTCTTTCTGTTCATCAGTACCTGCTAGCAATGGTCATAGCCTACTTTGCCCGGGCTGGCCGTCCTTCTTGGCAATACAAGCGCCTCCATTTCTTCCTGGCTCTGTGAGTGGTTTCTCATTCCCCTTATCCAATGGCCTCCCTCTCTTACCAGAAAAAACTATCTGCTAATGCTTTATGGGATTTGGGGCAAAGCACTTGACCCCTCTGAGCCTTAATTCATTTTATCTGTTAGCCCACAAGCATTTATTAAGTGTTTGCTATGTGCCAGGCATTGTATTAAGTGCTAGTGATAAAATGAAAAGACAAAACTATTAAATCTGCAGGCCTGAGTTCTGTCCTGGAATTGCCATGAACTTGCTCTGTAAACTTGGCTAAATCCTTTCCCTTTTCTGGGACTCAATGTCCTCCTTTGTCAAATGTGGGGAGCAGGATTGAATTAGACAACTTCTAAGGATCCTTCTAACTCTGGCATTCAGTAACTTCTCTGCTGTCAGAACTCAGAATGACCTTCCCAGGGCAAAACTTTTCTCTCATTAGCTTTGCCAGATTGATCATACCAGTCAAGGAGGATGAGAGGAAAGGGGGCCACAGTTGTATAGTTCTCATCAAAACAGGAGAGAAATGCTAATGTTAGACTCCTGCAGGAGTATGTCCAAGATGGTGATGGGGCCTAGGTACCATGGCTTATAGAAGATTGGTTAATGACTCTGAGACTATTTATCCTAGAGAAAGGAAGACTTGACATGAGCACTGGCTTCAAGGTGACTTCTAAGCTCATTTCCAGATGTAAAATACTATGATTCTATCTAAAAAGCAATCATGTAGAAAAGAGATGAAGTTGTTTTTTTTTTTCCTGCTTGGTGCTAGAGGATAGAACTAGAAGCAATGGGGAAAATTTACAAAAAAAGAGAGGAAGATTTCATCTTCATTTATAAAAAAATCCATTAACAATCAATGACTTGTCTTGGTGGGGGCAGTGCTGAATTCGCTGTCACTGGATGTCTTTAAATGGAAGTTGGCTGACAGCTTGCTAAAGATATTGTAAAATCTTTGGATTGGCCACCCTAGGGTGGCTTATTCTGAAATCCTAGGATTCTGTGGGTCTGGGTGGGCATGCAGAGGATAGAGTAAAGTTGCTCTATTGGTGGAGCCCTCTGTCACTTCATAGGAAGTAGGGGGATATAGATTATAGTTTGGTAAAGATCTAAGAAGACCTCACTAACTGAAAAGTTGAGATTAAGGCTAAACAATGTGACCCTCTTGGCCTCCCACAGCTACCTGGCCAATGACATGGAAGAAGATCGCCAAGGACCAAAGCATGACATGTTTGCCTTTCTTTATGGCCAAGACCACACCCAGCGTGTCAAGTTCCAGTGGCTTCGGGCCCAGCTCTTCCGGGCCATTGGTTGGAAAGCATGGGTTACCCGAGAAGAGTGTGAGGAGGTAGGATATTCTGGGGAGGAGAAGTGGTGTCAGGAGTACTTTTATGGGAAATCTGTGGCTGGGCTTTAGGCTATGAGAGGGTATAGACCTCAAGATTGCAAGGTTATGTGTGTAGTCACATCTTGTTTTGTTTTGTTTTATTCCTTTACAGATTCAGGCATATCAGCCTGAACACTGGGTATGGAAGCGTGACCGGTCCCTCCTTCAGTAGAGATCCCTAATAAGGAGTCTGTTAGTAGTATCTGGAGGTAGGAATGGCAGAGGAGGTCTTCATCAGATTGGAGCAGAGATGATGTGAGATGAGATGGTATATTCAGGAGTGTGAAGGAGCTCTCACTCCTCCTGCTTACTGCTTAAGAGGTCCTAACCTAGCCAACCTTATAGCAAAACCATCAGATGGACCTAGTCAGCCCCCGACTGACCTAGTAAGCCTAGGCAGATCCAATCAGTCATATACAGACAGATCTGTTTGAAGAAGTCAGATACAACCAGACTAGAGCTATAACTAAGAATTTTTGTGTCCAGGGCAGGGCAGGGTGTTATACGTGTGCATGTGTGTACATCTGTGCATTTGTGCATGTGTATGTGTGCATATGTGTGTGTGCATGTGTGTGTGTGTGTGTGTGTGTGTGTGTGTGTGTGTGTGTGTGTGTATGTGTAACTTACCTGGGCTGCAGCTGACATAGGGAGGGAGTATGCACTGGGACAATGTACTTGTCATCCTTTCATTTTTGGTACCCTGGGGGCAAAGCCCAGATATCCTGACCTAGTTATAGCTCAGAGTCTCAATCATATATAATCAAACATAGAACAACTGGCCCAGACAGATACAGAGTCATAGGTAATATAACAGAAAGACATAGACAGATCAGGTTACATATGCAGACAAGCATAGAAAGATGGAGCCAAGCCCAGTTATTCAGATGCAGTTAGACGTAGTCAGTCAGTTTAAGGTAGACCTAGCCAGGTAGATCCAATTACAAACTGACAGACATTGTCACACCCAGGCAGCTAGGCAGTCAAAGACACTGGAACAGACCAGAGAGAAAAACACAAGCAGATCCAGGGATACAGAGACACCCGCCTGGAGAAGCGCACTTAAAGCCTATGCAAGTTAAACGAGAGGTGAGTTACTGGTTATATGTAAGGTTTAAAGGGACATGCTTCAATAATTCAGTAATCCAGCCTTCATCAGTGTGGGACAGATGCCGTCCTGTTGCAGATTGCAACTTCTCTGTGCCTCGGTAGGTGATTCCTTCACCCAGTGGACAGGCTTCTGGTGTGAGCCTCTCCATATTTCCCTAGGCTGGCCCTGGAAGCACACGTGGAGTCGAGGCCATTTCAGCTTTGAAGCTTTTCCAGATCTCCTCGACCTAGCCAGAGCTTACATTCCCTTGGAAATCTTTTTGCCAAGTCCCTGTTGCCTCCATGTTATGCTGAGGCATTGGAGGAGCACTGGCTTTATGTGTGTGTATACATACATACAAGCATCCGCGTAGTGACCATTAGTGTATACATCAGAGCCTACGTGCTTTTTGGAGGAGATTTGATGTGGGCGTTCAGGGATAGCAAAGCTGACAGGCCTTGGGAAAATAAAGGCCGAATTATTTTAATGAAGGTGAAGGGTAAGGAGGGAGGGAGATGGGGAATGGGAAGGGAAGGGGTAGCAAAGGGGGATTGAAAGGGAAAAGAAAGTGTCAAGAGGAAGTAAATGGAAAAAGAATGAGAGAAAAGAAAGAGCAGGGCAAGGAAGAGAAGAGACCAAAGAAGAAAGAGAAGAAAAACAAGGAGAGAGAAGAGAAAGGACAAAAGTTTTATACTGCCCCTCAGTATGATTCCATACCCCTTCCAAACTGTGGTGAGTTGCTTTATTTTATTTTTGTTGGGGACAGGGTGATGGGGGAACCTATATATACACCTAAGGTAACAGAAAACTTTGGTTGGTAGAGGTTTATTACCAAGTGCTAAAGGTTAGGATACATTAACTAGCTAGTTTAGGGGCAGAGTTAATGTTAAAGGTTAGGGAAAGGGATGGTGATAGTGTTAGGGATTGTGACTTCCTCTTAAAGTGAGGTTTCAGGATCCACACTGTGATTGAAAGTTATGTCTAAACGTCTTTTTCAGAATTAGAATTAGGAAAGAAGAAGTAAGAGTTCCAGTGGGAAAAGATTTCCTGTCCCTGCTCATCTCAGCCCTTTCCCTTTCCCAGCTTCTTTTGCTCACCATCCTCTCTCAAAACTGGAGGAAATCAGAAGACACAACCTTTGAGCTGCTTGTGGGAAGGGGCTGTAAGAAATATCTCTTGCCCCTCTGAAAAAGCCAACCTTTTTTCTTCTTTCCTTTCCCATCCTTCCACCTTCCCTTTCTTTTCTCATTCCTGTCCTGTTCACTTTCTTTTGCTCTGTCTTTTCCCATTAAAAAAAAATGACTTTCCCTCACATGTCCTTCCCATTACTTTATTTCCTGATTATCTAACACTCTTTACATGTTTTTTCTTCCCTCCATCCTTTCATCCTTGTTCTCAGCCCTGCTGCAACTTTTTCCCCTTTCCATTCCCATGCCCTTTTATCCTTCACTTCTTTTTCATTATGTCTTTCTTGTCTTTCTCTTAAGTTCTCTTTTTCTTATTTTATTTTTTTCTCTTTATTTTCTTTTAAACTCCATTTATTCTTTCCTTTTTCTTTCCCTTCTTGTTATATCTTAATTTACAGAGTCAATATTTTTAAAGGCTCACCATCACCTTCACTTTGCCAGCATTTACATGAAATTCTACTGTTTTTGTTGTGCTCCATATCTCCCCACCAAGAAAACGTGTATAAATCCCAACATCATAAAATTTATCACTCTTGAGATGGGTCACATAATGGAAAAACAGTTGGGAAACACTGAATTAAGAGTTAAAGTATATGGTTCAAAGTGCATTCAGTATTAAGACTTTAGAGTTCAAGGATGGGATTTTCTTTACAAGACAGGGGCTAAGAGTACTGGTTTAACATTGGGGATGGGAATTTCCGTGATGGGTTAGGATTCAGGGTGATTAACAGAAGTAAAAAAACAAAAACAAAAACAAAAACATGAGTTATAGAATCGCTGGTTCTGGTTGTATTCCAGGTTAGGATTAGAGTTGTGATCAGAAAGTATGCCTTTTTAGGCTTACGCGTCAAGTTTCATATCATAACTAAGTTGGGAGGGCAGAGTTTAAAATTCAAGGTTATTAGTTAAAGTAAGTAATGGTCAATGTCATTAATGATTGTATGAGGGGGGAGGAGATGCCCTTCTTTGATTTCCCATTCTCATATCCTAATTATCTTTCCTGGGTATCTAACCTTCACACCCTCCTTTCCCCAAGGCAAGGAATGGATTGTCAAAAGGAGACTAGTAATAGAAGTTGGGGTGGGGAAGAAGAAAGAGACTTTATAAAGAGATGCCCAAAGGAGAGTCTCAATTTCTGACTCTGGCATTGGACCAAAAAATTGGCAGGAGTTAGCTTGGAAAGATGGTAATGGATGTCATGGAGGGAGAGGCCTCTGGAAATGGTCCAGGAGTCAATCTGAATGCAAACAAACTGTACAATGTAGATTTTCTAAGAAAGTGCATGATCACACAGTGCATCTAAGAAAGCTTGAAATGGGGGACAGCATAGAATTTTGGCAGTTTCATGATGTATTCTGGGGTCATCTTGAAAGAATTCAGACTCAGATCACCTCCAATCCAAGGGCATTTACTGAGAGTGATACCTTTCATGAAGCTGGCTGGGTTCCAAGAGGAACTGGCAACTGATCAGAGGAAGACAGGCAATTTTATATTCTAATGATGATGATGATTACCAACAGAAATTATTAATATTAAAAAGGAAGGAGGGTTTTGTCAAGGGATTAGGTAATAGGGCAGGGGTCCCAGCCTCAGTGGAACTGCACATTCAGTTTCCCACAAAGCATACAGAAAAACTCATTGGGGGGCATGTATGTATGATAATGACATTATAATAAGCCCCTCTGTGTCATACATTCACCTAAAGGACAGCTTTTGCTATTATTGTGCAGGTGCTTACTTAGGGAAAGTCCCTTCTTTTGTTTTGGGATCCATGTCCTGCCTGGGCATCCCTGTGGTGCTGCTTTCTGATTGGCTGGCTATTGTGGTCCTGTCTGAGATTAGATAGACATGGTTGTGGTTGAGGGCATGGACATACCTGCTGTTTCTGTGAGAAATATGAGGACTGGTTCTGGGGGCAGTGGCTAGCTAGAGGCAGTGGCTGGGATCCCATCCCATGGACACACCTGCTGTTCTAGTGGGGCATGAGTTCAGGGACATGCCTGCTGTTCTAGTGAGGCAGTGAAGCATATATGAGGAAGTTAGGATATTGAGTTGGGGGAGCAGTGGTTAGGTAGGGGCAGTGGGCCTGCTGTTCAGTGAGGCCTATGATTGGGTCTGGGGCCTGTGGTTGGTTAAAACCAGATTGTGTAGTTAAGTCAAGACACATCTGCCGTTCAGTGAGGTTTACAAGGAAGTTAGAATATTGGAGCTGGAGGCAGCTTTATTAGGATTCCATCAGAATCAGGCTAAGAACATGGAGGGGACTTCAGCACAACAAAGAATGAGCTAGACCACTTCAGAGTGTGAAGAAAGGCATGAATGAAGAGTTGTCAATTACAGGCAAGAAAAACGATGTGAGTAGGAGGTGAGGAAATAATTCGTTCCACTTGGAAGAATTAAAGCAAGGGAGTCTCAGGAAAAGCAGTGGCTGAGTTTGGTGGAGTGGAAAAGGCAATTACTGAAATAAAGGTATAACTCTTTGAGCAGAAGAAACTGATTGAAATATTGAGAGTGGAAGAAAGAGAAGGAGAAAGATAAAAGGAGATAGAACAGAATAGAAAGAGGAAGGATAAAGGAAAAAAAGAGAAGGTGAAGTCAGAGGTAGGAATGAGAGATGGAAATAAGGAGACAAGAAGAGACAAACACAGGGAAAGAAATGATAGGGAGAGGACAGGAGAAAAGAGAAGAGAGATAAAAAAGGAGAGACAAATATATACAGAAGAGTTAGAGAAGGAAGTCTCTAGGGCAAATAAGTAAGCTATGAGATCTGTAGCATAATTTTAGTGGAGGGAGGGAATCATTGTGGAAGATGGGATAGAAGCATGTCGAAGGCAGGAAGGATAGGAACTCATAAACAAAGCAAGGAATAAAAGCTTTGTATTTTCTATGTCCACAAATGTTATCTTCTTGCTCCCTCCAAATTCAGCTCTCACAAGAAGGGATATTGAGAAAGGCAAAGATACCTGAAACTAGAGCAGCTGAAGATATGAGAAAAACTGAAGATAGAGGATCACCTGAAAGTAGATGTCCAGAGGCAAACAAGCAAAAAGAACAAATGACCTTGAAGCATCCAAGAAAATGGGATGACCAAGGAGATGAGACAACTCAGGAACAGGTTAAAGATCAGAGAAGAGCAACTAAGATGTGAAATAAGAAAAGGAGGAGAGCAAATCTCTAAAACAGCAGCTAAACATTAAGAAAAGTGGAGGAGAGGGGCACTGCAGGAGAAATGGAGGCCAATGAAGAAAGAAGCACCAGAGATCTGGGAAACTGGAGATGCAGGAGAAGCTGGCCTGAAAGACTCAGCTGAGGTGCTGAGAACAACCACTACTTAAGGAGGAACAAAAGACATGGGCTTGACTGAGGCATAGCTGAGGAACTGTGAACATCAGAGGAGAGAAAAAAAATTTCTTTTGGATTGGGTCTCCCTATCTAACCCAGGTGGTAAATGAAGTGGCACTCACAAGCCTGACCCCACTAATGACTGACCTATTGAACTGCTCCATTTTTTAGCCAGGTAGGCCCCTATTCCAGGGGGCTCACCATATTGGTGCTGGACTTAGTGAGGACACCCGATAAGCCTTAGCTCACTGCAGTTCAGTACTTCTGACCTCAATGGTTCTACCAGCATCAGCCTCCCTAGTAACAGGGGTAATAGGTGTGCACAACTACACCCAGTCCAGAGAGCAGCTTCTAAAGAATGGGCAGAAGACATTAAATTTTGGAGATGGGAACAGAAGAGTTGAGCTATGAAAACAGAGAAGGGTAGTTAAAAAGAAACATTGAGGAGATTGAAAACAGAAGATAAGGAC